CCGAGGCTTCCTCAGCCCGAGGAATGCACGAAACTGCTCCAGCAAGATGACATCTGGGAAGATGTCAGCCAAGGTTGGGAGAAGAAGGGGGCGTGGAGGGCTGGGAGGTGGGGAGCGTGTGCGAAAGTTTCTCCCCACACAGGGCAGGCACCAGGAGTGACTTGAAGATAGCTCGCATGGTGAGTGGGAGGAAAGACAAAGGGTTTGGGATGGGTGAGAATGCAGGTGGCAGGGAAGGAGGAGAGGGGAACGGAGAACACAGAAATGAAGGCCCAAGACAGGGCCACTGACGGGACAGAACGTATTGCCCGAGTGCTCCCTGGGCTAGGCCAGGGAGGGGGTGGGTGCTGTGATCAAGAGGACAGGCTGGGATGCAGCTCTGCTTTCCTGGGCCTCGATGCCCCTTTGAGGGACATTCTGATACTTCTGCATTTGGGTACTGCCCTCAGGCAAACAGCACGACTCAGAGTTCCCAAATGCAGGGTGGTAGGGCCCCTTGTACACATGACACAGGCCTGCGGAGCTGTTGCCACTTTCCTGGGCACAGCTGTCGGCGTCCCTTTCTAGGCCTCAAATAGAGGCTGTAATCCTGTCATTTGTGGTTCTTTATTATAACGTTCAAGGAAGCAGCAGCTAAGAAATCAAATGACATATTGCATTGGGCAAATCTGCGGCAAAAGACCTCTTTAAATACCTCTTTAAAAAGCAACAATGGCACTTTGAGGGTGAGGAGGAGAATTCTAAAAACCAAGGCACTTAGCGTGGCTGAGACTTCTAACTCAAGTCTAGGCCAAATGCCTCCTTGTCCTGACTGACTCCATTTTGTACTTTTTGGTCAAAGTGCAGCCAGTCACTTCTATAAACATCCTCTGCATCTTTGACCTCGATCTAAGACTTTCAGAGGAAAATGCAGTTTTATTCACTGTATTCAATTCATGTAGAGATGTTAAAGAGAACAAATTGAGGTTAACCTTCAGAGAGCTGTACTTAGAGTTTATATAAATCTATGTTTAACAAGTAAGGGAACTCTAGTGGCGTAGTCCACAGTGAGTTTTACTTCTGGTCCAGAGGCTGCATGTCTATGACGGTTCAAATCCACCAGTGACTCCAGGGGACAAACGTGGGCGGTCTCTACCAGTAAAGACTTACAGCCTTGGAAATTTTACATCAGACACCCAGTGGAGGATCAGTGGAGGTCAGAACTAACTCTAAAGCAGCATGTGAATATATGTTGTTGTTGTTGTGTGTCGTTAAGTCAGAACTGACCAATAGCTGACCCTCCAGCGGGTTTTCAGAGGCGGTAAATCACACGCTAGGAGATCGCCCTTCCCCTTGGAGAACAGCTGGTAGATTTGAACTGCGTGCTTTGGGACTGCGGTGCAGCTTCTTCTCAGTGGACCACTAGAGCACCCCATGTTGAATGTTCAATAGAGGTATGCTTAGAGATTTTTCTTTATTAAAGTATATTTTCTCTCCTTAAGGAGCCTTGGTGACATACGTATAACATGCTAGACCTCTCACTGGAAGGACAGTACTTGTCGACTCTGTAGGAGAAAGAGGAATAATCGCCTGCCCTTAAGATGTGCAACCTTGGAAGTTTGATTCAACTATGAGTTGAACTTGACTCGATGGCACTGGATAGTAATAGATGGAGTTCTCTTCTGAACCATAGGAATGCTTAGCATTGTAAATGCTGACCATTTTATTCTTTCAACAAATTCTTTGCTTTACTATTTTAACAGAGTCCACAGATCTCTTGAGAGATACAGATCTAATTCTGTTCTTTATGCCTTAGAGCCCACAGTGCTTATAATTACTGAGCGCCAGGTGAGCTGTGTAATGACATCCAAGACGACATATATGATGAAAGCAAAAGGTCACTGGAAAGGCAAGAAAGAAGAAAAGACCAGAATGGATGTCAAAAAAGACTTGATCTAGGATGTAAAGAACCTGCAGTGAATGGAAGAGATGGTGACATATGAAAGCTGAACAGAAAGTTTCATCAAGAGCAGCTTGAGAGACAAAGTAAAATATTATAATGAAATGTGCAAAGATCCAGAGTTAGAGTACCAAACCAGAAGAATACAGTCAGCATTTCTCAGACTGACAGAATGGAAGAAAAGAATTCAAGTTTTGAGTTGCAATACTGAATGAAGGATTGTATGGGAGAAAGATGGGCAGTCACTTCTTGGGCAATTTATAGCCTTGGGAATCCAGTGGGGTGTGAGCTATGAGTTGCTTCTGACTTGATGACAATGAGTGAGTGAGTATAAAACTACTCAAAATAATAAAAAAGATACTAAATAATCCATAGACATGCCAAGCTTGGAACAGAACTTCTCTCATGGATTAGCTTTTAGCTAAATAACAGGCAGACTTTTAAGGGAAACACCACCTCTAGGGAGGCACACACTCTTTAGAATAACCAACTATATGAGACCCAAAGTGCAGTAGGTATAAAATTCAGAAGGCAGGACGGGATTCAGAAAACAGGTGGAATGGAAATGGGAAACATAGGGAAGAGGTAGGACGAGTGCTGCTACACTGTGGGGATTTTGAGAAATGTCCCAAAACATACACGAACGAACTGCTGAATGGAAATCCAATTTGCTCTGTAAACTTTCACCAATATTAAAGTAAAAAGAAAACAAAAGATAATAAAGGGCACTCTGATAGTGTGGATGTATTGAATGACACGGCAACTCAACGTGGCTGCACACCTCAGGCAGCTCAAATCCACCAGCAGCTCCACAGGAGAAGGATGGGCAGCCTCCTTCCAGTGCAAATTACCACCCCTGAAATCTAAATTAGGTTATGACTTGCAACTGACTTTAAAAAGTAAGGTAATAGTTGAAGAAATATTTAAAAATTATGTGAATCAACAAACACTTTAAATACAACACACACATAAACACACATAGAAGGTCTCTGGGTAGCATACATGGTAGCATACATGGTATTGCTTGGCTGATAGGTTGAAGATTTGAGTCCACCTAGAGGTGCCTTGAAAAAAGGTCTGGTAGTTTGCTTCTGACAAATCAGTCATTTAAAAAAAAAAAATCTGAACTAGGTAACACAGTTGGACTGTGACATGCACGGGGTCACTGTGAGTGACCAGGTACAGTAACTGGCCTTTGACCACATTTTAGCCAAGGTTGTTTAATGTCATCTGAGGTGTGCCTGATTCAGACCATGGTATTTTCAATCACATGCTATGCATCTGAGAGCTGGACAATGAATAAGGATGACAGAAGAAAAACTGATGCCTTTGAACCAGGGTGTTGGAGAAGAGTATTGAACATCCCATGGATGTCAAAAGAACAAACAGATGGGTTTTGGAGAAGGTGAAGGCAGAGTGCTCCTTGGAGAAAAGGATGGCAAAGATTCATCTTGCATATTTTGGGCATGTTGCTACAAGAGGTTGTTCCTTGGAGAGGGACATCATGCTTGGAAAGATAGAGGGATGGTGAAGAGAAGACGACCCTCAACCAGGTTGATTTGACACAATGACTGCAGCAGTGGGCTTGAGCGTATCAGAGATTGTGAGGTTGGCACAGGATAGCACAGGGTCCAGATCTGTTGTTCTTATGGTGTGAGTTGTACCGGACTTGATAGTATGTAACAACAAGAGCAACAATGTAAGCATCTGTGATCTTGGTAGGTTAGTGACCCAATGGCTTATCCTTCCTTAGAGGGGTGGGGGTTCCTATCTTTCAGATGCACCTGCCCCTACCAGCATCTCTTCAAGTGGCCTTGCCCTAGGGTGGGCTTCCCTTCTGGAGCCTGTTCCCTAAGAGGTTGTTTTGCCTGTATCTAAGGTCCAGATTGGCCAGCCATGCATGGCACATGGACCAAATCCAGCTCATTGCCAGTGTTTGTTGTTCCTTAAACTAAGAATAGCGTTTATATGTTCTAAAGGCTGAAAATAGAATCGAAGAATAATAGCTTTTTGTGGTGTGTGGAAATGATAGGCAATTCAAATTTCAGTGGCCACAAATAAAGTTTGGTCAGAACAAGGCCAATCTCATTCATTTCCAGATTGTTTTTGATTGCTTTCACAACACCATGGCAAAGCTGAGTAGATGTGGCAGAGATCATTTGGCCTGAGAAGTCTAAAATATGCAGTACCTAGTCTTTCATTGGAAAAACCCCAAAACTAGCAGCCCCTGCTCCAGAGCACTTTCTCATGGTTTTGACTTTTTCTCCCAATGTCCTCCTGCCCCAATGGCCAGGCTTCCGTGCGTAACTCCTTAGTCCTGTCCCTTGCCTCCTGGAAGCCAACACCACAGGACACTTGGAGACACAGCCAAGCTCAGTTACTCAGGGCGGCAGGAGTCAGTGCATGAATGACTGAGAGTATCAACCCCAAAGCTTCATTCCTACCACTTTAAACTTCACCACCAACTGTCACCACTGACTCTTCCTCTCTTAGACAGTCCTATGTTCTAAAGTGGACTAGTAGCCTGTCCATTTCAGAAATACTAAATGGAAGGAAATCCTGAATCTGTGTGTGTGTGGGGGGGGAGGGAGGTAGCAAGGAGGAAAGGAGCAAAGCAGAGGCCTCCAGGTGGTCATGAGTGACTAGCAGTCGTCATTGGGCTGGCTCCTGACTCACGAGGATGCTCTAACAACAGGATTAGTGTTTTCTGCTTCAGGCTTTGCATTGGCTGGACTATTTTTTTTTTTACATCACCAGGACATTCTTCTAAGTCTAAGTCAAAAAGTTCTGTGGAAACCTGCTGTTCAGCCTCACAACAACAAGCAGGGATCCACGGACAGAGGGGTGGTGGCTGTGTATTGATCAGGAATCAAACCTGGGATGTCCACAGGGAAGGTGATAACCCACAGGCATCTGGTTTGAATCCACTCCGTGCCACATGGGAGTAAGATGGGCAATCCTTCCCATGCGATTTACTGAGTCAGCCTTGCTTTCTCTGACTGAAGTTGCTGCTGAACATCTTGACCCCTCTCTCCCTAATTCTACTTCCCCCGGAACTTACCTCTTGAGGCCGCTCTGAGATCAGGATGAAGCCATTGTTGTCGACCACAAAGCAGTCCAGATCCTGGGAAAAGACCCCAAAGTGAGGCAGCAGGCGGCCAGCTGATGATGCCCACTTCCTCCCACCCACTCTGACTGTTTTGGAAGGCAGGCTTGGAGGTCAAATCAAAAGATACTGTCTTTCAGCCCAGCAGCACTGGGAAGAGGGGTCTGGGCAAGGAGCGGGGCTAGCTCTTTGAGAGCACAAGGACAGAGGGGCCCACGGTTCCCATCTCCCCGTGGCACAGGGGAGGAACTTACACTGTCCTGGCAGCTTGTTGGGCATGGCTCATCCTCACCACTGCACTGGAAGGAAGAGGAGAAATGGTGTACTCATGTGATGTGTGTGCATGGAACACGTGTGGTCTGTGCACAGGGAGATGTGTGATGTGCATGTAATGTGTATATACTATATGGCTGTGTGTGTGTGTGTGTGTGTGTGTGTGTGGTGTGCTATGAATGCATTTGCAGGAACCACCAAATGAAGAAGGCAGGGGCTAGAAGTAAGCTTTGACCCAGGAGTTATCAGAGAACAGGAAAGGCTGAGGAGGCGAAGATGCAGGAGGGCACCCACTGGTGGCTGCTGAGAGGTTCAGGAGGCTCCCAGGGAGGGCTGCAGGAACCAGCTTCTTCTCACTGCAAAAGCAGGTGAGTCTTCTGGCCCCACCCTGGCCCCAGCTCTCAAACCTACCTTTTGTGTCGCTGCCCATAATTTGCGTTGGAGGAAGTCCAGCTTTATCTGGATGCCCACCGCTTACCCGGAGACAGGAAGGGAGAGGTCATGACCACGAGTGTGTATTTTGGGGAGGGGAGACAGTGGGAGGAAAGAGAGAGTGAGAAGGAAAAAAAAATAGATTCACGTTAAAAAGAGGAGGTGCATCAGCAGGATCTGAGGGAGAGCTAGCACTGGGTTGAGAGCGGATGGGGAGAGTGAGTCAGACAGCAGAGTGAGAAACTGAGGTTCCTGGTTGGGGTGGGGGTGGGGGGAAGAATAGACAGACATGCCTTCTGCTTCCCCCAGCTGAACAACAATGACAGAGACGCCCTGACAGGAAGCAGTGGCTCAGATAGCACAGAACAACTGAGGGCAGTATTTGCCTTCCCTTTTCCAGGAACTGAAGGCAGGCCATCTCCCTTCCTACCACAGAAGCCCAGGGCGAGGGAGCCATTTGTTCAAGGTCAAACAACCAAAGGTGGCAAACCAGACTGGAAAGGGGGTGCTGGTCACTTAGCGATAAGGAGCTTCACTGCAAACCCCAAGTATGCGGTTTGAATCTACCAGCTACTCAGTGGGAGAAAGATAGGCCATCTCCTTCCAGACGATTTTCAGCCCTGGGAGGTGAGCTATGAGTCGCTTCTGACTTGATGGCATATAACAAACAGAAGACTGAAAAGCAGGCCATTGCAAACTGGGCCTTCCTGGATTTCCAGTCTGCCACAGCAACCTCTTTTATAGTCAACCCTTTAGCAGGATTCCATTAACTTTGTAAGAAGGTGCTTGTTTTGCTGAAAGCTGTGGATGAATTTACCCTGGTTTGCAGGCAGGTTCCAGGAAGCAATAATCTCTTGCAACCTCAAACATGCCTCCACTAATGGCTGTACCTACAAGGGCCACTTCACTTCTGAAATAGATTTGGAGAACCTGTGCTGGTGCTCACACCAAGAGAAATCTGGGACAGAGAGCTCCAGGAAAACCTGGGGACAAAGGCTCGAAAGAAAAGGCAGGTTATACTAAAGAGAGGGGGGGAAAAAACCAAACAAAAATCTAGGCCAACTTCCCAACATCTGGTATAAGAATTTGGAAAATGTGCTGGGCGCTTCTGATGTGCCAGGTCCCTTGAACACCCATGAGCTAATCTGATTCCTTCAGTGGACAGGTGCTCTTATTATTTGGACTGTGCAGCTGAGGAAATGGAAGCTGACGGGGTTACAGGCTTAACCAAGTCACCCAGCACTGAGCAGGGCCTGTGTGACTTTAATACCTGTCTTCGTTAACTAGTGCTGTGATAACACAGATATTATAAGTGGGTGGCCTGAAAGAACAGAGTTCTTTCAATCCCTATCCAAATCAGGGATTAAGCTTTGTCAAATCTTTCTTCATCTGTAGTCTCAGGCCTTCTTTGGTTCTTGATACCTTTGTTTTTGTTGTTAAGTGCCACTGATTTGACTACTGACTACAACTCCTGAACAATGGGCCTGCACCCCGTCCTGTTCTATTGGCTCTGCACCCTGTCCTGTGCCATCAACATCATCTCCGCCATGCTTGAGCTCATTGGTACAGTCACTGTGTGAATCCATCTCTCTGAATGTCTTCTGTTTTGCTGACCCTCCACCTTTCCAAGCATAATGTCTTTTCCCAAGAATTGGCCCCTCTTAACAACATGCCCAAAGTGAGTGAGAAAATGTTTCCTTGCTTCTAAGGAGCTCTCTCATATATTTGTTTCTTTTAGCAGTCCATGCCCATAATATCTGTCTTCCCTCAATGTGCTTAACCATAACTTATGTCTAAATTGCTCTTTCCCCCCTTTTAAAAAATTTATTTTTATTTTATATTGGTTTGCATATAAAATTCATATATATTTATTTCACACATTTCTTCATTCATACCATGTTTCATATGATCATTTGTATATATGTCTTATAAAAGTAATCACCATTGATCTATTCCCACTATTACCCTGTGTTTTCAGGTCCCCACTGGATCTTTCTTGATTCCTTCCCTCCCTCCCTCTACCCACCAAACTCTGCAACCCCATGATTTCTCCCCCTGCCCCATCAGCCTCCTTTCTCCCCTCGCTTCCACCTCTGGACTCTTATACTTATTCTGCTAGCCATCCTTCTATTTTTACAATAATGGTCTTATGCAGTGTTTATCCTTATGAGACTGAATTAGTTTACTCAGCATAATGCTCTCCAGTCTCTCCCATCCTATAGAATTTTAAAAAATTGTTGCTCCTGAGTGCTGCATAGCATTCTATAGTGTGAGTGTACCATAATGTCTCAATCCATTCATTTCTTGAAGCACATTTGGGCTCTTTTCCATTTTCCTGATATTGTGAATAGCACTACTATGAACACTGGTGTACAAACCTTCATTTGTGCCTCAGTTCTGTTTTCCTTGGGGTATATCCTAGCCCTCTGAACCTGCAGAGAGGATGAAAGACACCCAAGCATTGAGGACTCTCTTTCATAGGGTCGCTATGAGTCTCCTGTGACTCGACGCATGGCGCTTAACAACAACAAACATCCTAGCAGTGGAATAGCTGGGTCATATGGAGTTTCTATGTTCAGCTTTTTGAAGAAATTCCAGATTGCCTTTCCGAGTAGTTGTACCATTTTACAATCCCACCAACAGTGCAGCAGTGCTGCCCTATAGAACTTTGCCACTGCTAAATCACTCTTTCTGTAAATTAGAAGATATTGGATTTAGGACATACCCTACACTGAGATGACCTAACAAAAGAATCCTCTGTTTACAAACTGGATTAGATCCACAGGTTTGTTGGTATGTGCCTTGGAGTCAATTCCGATTCAGTGACCCTGCAGGACCCTATAGGACAGAGAACTGCCCCATTGGGTTTCCTAGGCTGCAGTCTTTCTGGGAAAAAGATGGCGGTGTAGTGTGGAATGTGCTGGGCTGCTAACCAAAAGATTCGCAATTAAATCTGCCAGCTGCTCTGTGGGAGGAAGGTGAGGAACCTCTTGTAAAGATTCACGGCCTCGGAAAACCAACGGAGGGGTCTCTATGAGCTGGAACTGCCGTGATGGCAGTGAGGAGACGAAGCTTCATGAAAGCAGATGTCCAGCTATTTCTCCTGATGAACTGCTGGGGGATTTGACCTGTCAGTCTTTCAGTTATCAGTCAAGTGTTTAACCATTCAACCAACAGGCTCCTTATTTACAGGTATGAGCATTAGGATCCCAGCATGGACTTGGGGCAGGACTGGGACACAGTTAAATCCATAATAAGGCCCATTTTCAGCCTCTTTCCTCTCTGTCCCTGATTTTGTCCTGCCATGTGGAGCATCGGCAAGCTGGTCTCACTCTATGGGCTTGGAATCCTCATCTGTAAAATGGGAATGAGCGAGAAGAAGTGGCTTCTCTCAGACACTTTCTGTTAAGAACACTAGGCACTGTGCTAGGTGTAGGGAAAATGGATGAGTAGGAGTGGACTTTGTCCTTCAGCAGGGTACAATGCGGTAGAGAGGCAGACATTGGGAGTTCAGGGATGATAGCCCACAAAGGCATGCATAAGTTGAGGTGGAGATGGCTTCACAGAGGATGTGATATTTTAGTCAATTCCTAGAGAGGTGGGGAGATACCTGCACTTTTTTTTCACATAAAATGCTTTATTTTTTAATTTTATTTGTTTTGATACCTGCCCTTTTATATCTCTCTCGAAGCAGAGAAAGGACTATCTGCAGGCTGACACCAGCAGCTGGACCATCATCCTGCTCTGGGAAGGTGGTCCCCTCCTGTTTCTTCATTCCTGGAAGATGCAGTAGTCTGGAATACTCTTTCTTCAAAGGAGAATGGTAGTGTGCCCTCAAGGCTCCATGATCTTGAACAAACAGAGGTGGATGGGCACCTGACTACAGGTGAGCTCAAATGGCCAGAGGTGGTCCTGTGTTCGAACTAGAGAGATGCAGCATTCTGCTTCCACCTCTGCCGTCTGTCAGTGTGTTGGACGGCAGTGGCCTGCATGCTGCTATGATGCTGGATGCTATGTCGGTATATCAGATACCAACAGGGTCACCCACACGAGACAGGTTTCAGTGGAGCTTCCTGACTAAAAGAGACTAGGAAGAAAGGCCTGGAGCCTTATTTCCCAACATTAGCCAGTGAAAAAGCCTATGGACCACAGGGGAAGATCATCCACTATATTGCAGGAAGATGAGCCCCCTAGCTTGGAAAGCACTCACAATACATGAGGTCAACCATGGACTCAAGCATACCGATGGTCATGAAAGATGATGCTGGGCCTGGCGTAGTTTTTACTTTGTTATACATAAGGTTGCCATGAGTCAGAGCGGATTCAATGGCAACTGCAAAGCAAGAACAGGTCCTCCTTACCCAAGGACTTAATTGGATTTTGTATAAAGCTGTGTAGCAAACGAAGGCTCATAGGCCCTTTCAACAATGACCAAAGATGAGACTAAGGAGAGGTCAAAAGCTAGAGTTCTAACCATAGCTAGAATCTGTTTCCTTAGTTGACAATTGGATCATAATTATACTTACCCTCGAAAGGCAAAATGAATCTAAGTTTGCTGAGGCTCAAATGGGATAATGTGTGGGAACGGTACTCTATGAGCCTGAAACCTTAGTGTGCAGTACAGCTACCTGGAAAGTTTGTTAACTCCAGAATTTCTTATTTAGCAAGTCTGGGTGTGGTCTAGGGATTTGTATTCCTAAAAATATCCCTAAGTGATGCCAATGCTACTAGACCATATTTTAGGAACTTCTATTCTAAAACATCACTGTCCTTAAAATAAAACTTCCTGAGATGGTCCCATATCTATATTGCCCCACACTGTAGCCATTAGCCACATGAGCACTTGAAATATGCCTAGTGCCATTGAGGACCTGAATTTCTAAATTTTTATTAGCTGGAATTTAGATTTAAACAGCCAAATCTGGCTGGTGGCCACCATATTGGATAGTACTGTTCTGCTGTGACTCTGCATTTATAGATAAAGAAATCAAGACTCTCTGAGGTCCCTCTTCTGACTGTAATTACATGGCAATTCTGTAAG